CAGCTCTACACCTTGTTATCTCAGATTCTCCAGCATCTGCAGTTCCTACTACCTCAGTCTCAGATACCTCTCTGTCTTGAAGCCCTGCAGGTTCCCCCTTAGCAATCCTGTGCAGCACATCTTCACTAACTCTTCAAGTGATGTCTCGGATATTACTTAGGCAACATGAGTAGATCACGTCCAACTGATGTGACCTCTTTGCTATTCTCTTCCACATCTCACTGGTTTAAATTGTTGCATGGAGCCACAGATTCATGGGTGTATTGATGGTGCTGGATGCCCAGACTATGCAGAGTTGCAGACCACTGCTGGGCTGGTTTAGGATCTTCCAAAATATTCCAGCTACCTTGTCTTCTGTTCCTTGTCTACCAGTGGTATCCTGCAGCTCTTGTATTGGATTGGTACAGTGAATTTGCTACTTGGACAAATTTGTTCCTATACAACCCAATACAGGATCTTGGAGTCATTCTAATTTGCTGCTTATAGTGCCTCCCTGCCTTTTAATGCTATTCATCCTCATCTGCCTGTCCTCCAGCTCTTTATCCATAGTTTTATCTAATTTTTCTGTATTGACCATCATCTTTTCTCCATATTCTTTCCCTGACCCCTTTTGCTCTTTGTCAGCTTTATTTCATCAGCCAAATTCCACGCTGGGTCAGTGATCCATTTTTCTTTATGAACTTTCCTTCATCACTCTTTTAAACATTTCCCACTGTTCCTCGATGTCTCTCGACCTCAGTGATACATTGACTCCGCGGAGTGTTCCAGCTGGAAATTGCCTGATCTACCCATGTTTCTCCATCGATGACATATGGTTGTTGCCTCCTTCAGCTTCAGGTGAATCCTGCCCAACACAAGATACTGGTCATAACCTACATTAGCTGCTCAATAGGTTTGGAGATCTTGAATGTCTATGTGCTACTGACGCGGAAACACTGGCAGACTGTTTGGACATTCCAGGTGCCGACTCTGGTCTGAAGATTGGGCTTGTCAGGAATAAGATATTACTTTCAGCTTTCATCCAATTCCATGACATGTACATCATTTGATATGCCATCTTCTTTGCCAAGGCTCGTCAGTTTGGCCACTTCCTGCTGTTTCTGGAAAGGTGATAGCTTTTTACAGGGTGAGGATGCTTGCCTCAAGTCTAACCCTCCTTCTTTAGCAAACAGACTTGAGACAAGTGAGTTCTGCTGACTATGCTTCTCATCGTTCCTCATTGCTCTGCGTAATGCTCCTAAAAGATTGCTCTGTGGATGCAGCTTCAATTCGAGGATCTGCTGAGTTGTTGGAAGCAACTTTTTCAGAGGCCTGAGGTCTGAGAAAATCTGTAGTAATTATAACACTTCACCAAAGCAGAATAATGTGAGAACAAATGAGGGAATCTTTATAGTCTCACAGCGATCAGAATCAATAAAAGAGTGAAAGTTTGGTTAATGCCTGAATGAGAATGTTACACCAATGAACAGAGATGGCATGAATGGGATGACGATTGTTATCAGCTAGGCGCTGGGACTGGGAGTTAAATGCAGCTTAGCTATACCAAAAGCATGGAGATGATTTATATTCAACTTGCTCAAAGGCATTATTACACACATCTGGAACAGGTGGGACCTGAACCTGGACCTCCTGGCTCAAAGGTAAGGACACTACCACTGGACCACAACAGCGCCCCCAAGCAGCATGCCAGGAAGTGTGGTCAATAACAACCAGTTGGGCTGGTAAGGCTGGTGAAATGGGATTGAGAGAAAGAAAATTTATCATTTTTGCAACATCACTTTGACAAACTGCATGTGGAAATTAGTGAAGCTGAAGGACATTTGAGTGGTTTGCTCCACAGGGACCTTTTGGTAGCATTACTAAGGACACAGTTCCTATCTTGGAACAGCAAGAAATCCTGTAGTACACCACAATCCAAGAATCTAAGCATTCCGTGTTTGTTTGGCATTTTCTAGATTTGTTATGCTTGTTCTCTTGAAGGTTAGGGAGCCTAAGGACACAGTGAGTAAGACAGGACTAACAACTCTTAACAGTATATAACCAATAACAGGCTTTTGACAGTCGTCATACCTACCCATTACTAATGATTATGCTCGACACCCTGCACACTCCATGAGTCCTTTGATAGGGCTTAATGCAGATACTCAGTCAATGTGAATGACTGTTAGTTTCACAGCTTCTTGAGTTTTCTTCATTATTCTGTTATGTCTTTGTTTTCTTCATCTTTCATTGTAAAAAGAACAGGATGGTCTGATGAAGACTTCTTATGGTCAATTTGACCACCAGAGCGAACAGCTGAGCTAACTCATGCATTATCAGTTGCTGGAGGATGCAATAATGGAACTAGGAAAAATGAACTGAAGACTCCTGTTGTTTTTTTGCACAGTCATTAGAATTGTCTTGCTTATCAACAATGAAGATTCTGACATTATAGTTTCCATGATAAACATATAGCTCCCTAGAACAAAAAGGGACAAACTCTGGCTGTTTTTGGACGGGGAAAAATGGAGCAAAGTGACAGAATTCATCTTATACACAGGAGATAGTTCCCTAAAATCGTGGACTTGCTCATTTCAGTTCCAAGCGGAGATCAAACCTTTCTTTAGCAGTCAAGCACTTGCATTTTGTTAACTGAACACTAGATGACCCAATTTGACAAGAATTGACAACATGTTGCAATCACACTTCATACACATGCATTACTTTTGATTTGCTTTGACAAAATATTCTAAAGGAGCTTAGAAGTGACTTTGGATATTATCACATAGGTTCCAGTGTTTATAAGTACATAAAGTATAACTCAGGGACCTGATAAGAATTATTATTAGAAAAAATGGACAAATCTGAAATGGGAGATTCATGAAAGAAATTTCAGTTTCTGTCCCCATCTCTCCCATATCACTGATACCTTGCTGGAAGTATCAGTGATCCTGTAGTAACTTTCCCAAGTACCCATTCTTCACTTGCAAGCCCGGATACTGTGACAGTAATCTATTTTACAGTCAGCCTTTGTCATTGTTTGCTGTTACAAGGGTACTTTCAACAGGGTGACTTCTGTAACACAAAATTAATGAGACTCCTTATGGCACTTCAATTGCTATCCTAGCTGGGAGCAGCTGACAACTCAGGATAGGAAATGAACAAGCGATCCTCTATTGCGCTTGGTTAATACTATGATGGATGGACTTCCTCAATAAACCATCAGGGAGCACATACAGATTGTGCATTTCAATCACAGTGAACACATACCGCCAACAGCCACAAAACTCCCCTTTAATTAAGAAAATAAGCAAAAGAGCTCCATGATGGCTTATTGGATAATTTATTACCTGCCAGTGAAACACAGACCAAAAGAAGTGTCAGTTTTGATTCTTTAGATATTGCTGTGTTAGCCAGATTAATTATTAGGCCAGTGTAATTGTCATGTTAGGTCAGTGTGAAATAGAGGAGAGAAAAGATGGTTCCTTCACTAAAGTGTTATTATATGAGTACGAATGGAATACACTTTAAGTGTTTGCCAGTTGGGAGCACCAATGATATCTCAAGGACAATTATCTATCAAAATTCAGGCCTGAGATCCCAGGGAATTAATTTGCTGGCAAATGTGTAACAGAACAGAGCCCTCAGCAAACCAACCCTATTACCATTGCACCCCTACCCCCACTCTAACAGCTCCCTTACCACCATCTTCTTTTCATCCTGATGGTTACAATCATTATCCCAAATTACAGAGATGAAGTCATTTGTATTGCCTTGATTGGTACATCCTGACTTCTGCGATCCCAACCAAGGATGCCAACATTGGAATATCACTATGCAAGGAGAAAGTGGTGACGAGTTAACAAGATTCTTCTGCTCCGCTGGAGAACAAGCAGGTCTTAGGCAGAAGATAATCTTCTCTGGTATTTATCGCCTTCTTAAATGTGACTTCAGGCCCAAGGCCTTCACCCTGACTCATGCCACCTCCCAGCTGGAATTTTTTGGGTAGCTGGAGACTCTCTCCAACACCTCCTCTTGATATCCATTTCCGAAGAAGGGTCTAGGCCCGAAACGTCAGCCTTCCTGCTCCTCTGATGCTGCTTGGCCTGCTGTGTTCATCCAGCTCTACACCTTGTTACCTCCTCTTGACTTAATGGAGTGAGTCAAAAAAAAATGTAGCCAATTCACCTCTTGTTGAAATAATAAGGGCAAAGCAAGTGGAATCATGCGTTCCACTTCAAATTCCTGCTTCCCAGGATGGAAATTAGCAATTGTGCCTTCATACAGATCAGAGATTTCAGAGATTTACTTTCTAGGCTCACACATGTCTATCGAATAATGGACTGAAGTACATGTGATGCCAGTGGCATCATCTATCCCATAACCCTAGAGAATTTTAGAGAGTAAGGTAAAAACAACCTTATGAGAAAATGTTCATTGTTTGAATGTACTGATTAAAATCAAGGTGTACCATTGGATGGTGTTAATCTTCTTGCTCTTTACATTTAGGGATTGCTGCCATGAGCTGCTGGGACATGTCCCTATGCTGGCTGACAAGACATTTGCTCAATTTTCTCAGGTAGTTCCTTCTTCCTTTGCAATGAATATTTACCCTGTACTGCAGCAAACATGCAGCACGTTAGTTCTCTTTAGATCAGTGAACATTAAGGGTAGATTTAGTAGAGATGTTCAAAATAACAAAGGATTTTGACAGATGAACAAAGAAGAAACTTGTCATTGGTAGAAGATATGTAACCATTAGGACAAAAAGTCAAGGTAATTTGCGAAGAAACCAAAGGCAGGATAAGCACAATGTGTTTCTACACAGCAAGTTTTTAAGGTCTGAACTGTTAAGATCTGGAAGAGCAGTGGAAGCAAAAAACATTCAAAAGGGAATTAGATAAATACTTGAAAGGAAAATATTTATGATGCTGCAGGGAAAGAGGGAGATTGAGACTAATTTTATGATGATCTTAGTGATTTTGATCTTAAGTTATGCAATTGTTGTATGGGTCATAATGTTTTAATTGCATTATTATATGACAATGTCTACACTGCAAAATAAATGGAATGAGTACCATAACACTGTAACCCCATTCACATGTCTGAGTTTATTGCTGGTAGAAGCAGTTTACCCCTAAAAGTAGTCAAGACGTATTTTGACCTCTGTTTTATGATACCATTTTTATTTCAAAAATATACTTTATTCATAAAAATATCTTTATATACATACACAGTCAGTAAAGCAGTTCGGTCCTATACAGTAGTATACAAAGAAATGAACAAAGATTGGAGTTTGGCTCTATCCAGCAAATAAACCCAAGGCATTTCTTAATTGTACAAGATTGTATTTAGATATATTTGAGACACTGGGGATCCAATATCTGTATGGACCCCCACCAAACTTTGGTAGAAAGTTAGACAGTGGTCTTTCCTCACTGAGCCTTGGCCCTGAGCTTTAGTGTGTCCCTCAGTCCGTCGTCCTAGACTTTGAAATGTGCCAGTCTGCAGCACTTGGTCAAGATCAACTCCTTGCTTTGGAAGCCCAAGAAGTTTTGGGCAGACCAAAGAGTGTCTTTCCAAGCTGAGTAGATGTGTGTACATGTATCCTGTTCACTTAACATGTCAATGCTATTGCAATTACAGAGAGCAATGATAAAGTTCAGAGCTGGCAAAGAAGTCATTCTTTACAAGAATGCTTACTGTTATCCAACCCAATGGTCATAGAATCAGCCTTATCTGTGCAATGGAATGGACAGACAGGTTGCATTTCTGGGACTACTTTATGATTCCCTCTCTTTAGAATCTTTTCTCTGCCCCTTTCATCAACATCTTTAAACAGTGTGAGGACCTCACTACTTGTCACATGCATTGTTAATTAGCTGACTCCAGTGCTTCTCCCTTTTGCATGATATATAAGACAAGTGAATAATGAGACCATAGATCAAGTAATGGATGCAGTTTGGGTAGCTCCATGTAGAAAGGACATTAAAACTATACCTTGTGTACAGCATTGATTCAGCATATTGAGGCCAGGGATGAAAATGCACTCATTATGACCAGAAATCTGAGATACTATTTCCTTTGGGCCAGAGAAGGCTATTGCAAGATATAATGAAGACATTTTTATAATTATGAAGCATTCTAGTAGGTTTAATAGAGAAAAAAAAACTTTCCTCTGATTGGAGTGTCAATGGTGAAGAGTCATTAAAGTGAAAGTAACGTGAGAATGTTATTGTATAGGTTGAGCCGAAAGACTAAATGTGAATGATGATATTGGACAGCTGCATGGCAAGATAGATTGTATATGATGGGCTGAAGGGCTAAAATTGTTGATGATGCTCGACAAGCTGCATGATTTTGGATGAGCCCTGTGAACATTCCCATACGTGCCACAGACAGCACAATTAAAAAATGTGTTTTCTGTACGTGCCAGCAATTTCATCTGTTGTATCTGTTGTTTTCTGTACTGGCTGTTTGTCACACTTCACGAGAAAGAGAGAGAGAGAGATTTTTGTTCCAAGGCTGCTAGACTTCACCTCGGCTCAGAATTGTGAACAGTGCCAGGAATAAACCTAAGCCTCCACCAGCCATCGATTGAGGGGTCCCCTGACAGGCAGAAGAACATGAGACTTGTTGTTTTATTTTTCTTTTTTCTTTTCCATTGATTATTACCACTATAATCGTTTATTATTGCCATTATAATCATTACTATTACTTAATAAACATTCATATTTAACCAAATTGCTGTGGTCAAGCCTTCTCTTAATTATATTTAACCGAATCTGAAAAGAACCACTTGGATACTGTTATGATTCAAGACAATTTTTGGCGATGAGGATGGGATTCAGGAGAATATTTCAGAGAAGGGAAAGGCAACCTGATGTTCCAGAGACCTTCCCTATTCCAGGATGTAATGCAGAAGACTCCAGATTCAGTCTGGAGCTAGCTTGTTGGCACAGTTAGGACTCCCGCAGGAGTGGGTTATCACCGGAAACATTCATATTTAAGCAAATTGCTGTGGTCGAGCCTTCTTCCGAATCCAAAAGAACTGTTTGGATACATGCTGTGATTCAAGATATTCATTACAGCATGGAATGCTTTGTTATGACAATTGTTGAAGAATGGACTGCAGCATTTTTAAGGGAATATTATATAAAAGAGACAGACACACATGTTGAAAATTGCATGCAAGTTTTTAATTTTTCTCAAGCATTCCAGGTCTTTGGTTCAGCAACAGTGAAGGAATGGCAAAATCTCCTCAAGAAAGATGGGGACTTAGAAAGGAATGGGGAGGTTATGGTGTACTCATAAACTTGCTGTCTTGTCAGTCTAGGCAATGGAGCTCACTGGTTGTGCATTTTGACGAGCTTAAATATGGGAGAAAAATAACCCCAAAGTAGTAAAGAAAAAAAGGATCAGTTGATGATTAGTGGTGATTAGTAGTGATGATTAGTATTGCCAGCTCACTTACTTTATCTTTGATCACTGTAACATCTAATATCCTTCTGTCATCTCAGAATATAGGTCTTGCCTCCCTAGGAGCAACTGAAGAGGAAATTGAAAAACTTTCGACTGTGAGTGTTACCACATTCATATCAGAACACAATTCAGAATGAAAACAAAAACTGCTGGAAATCACAGCGGGTCAGGCAGCATCTGTGGAGAGAGAACAAGCTAACGTTTTGAGTCTAGATCACTCTTCATCAGAGCAGAGTATGGAGGGGGCAACATTTATGCAATAGTGTAGGGGTGGAGTGCTGAGGGAGAAAGGGTGTTGATAGTGCAGATTAAGTGTTGGAATGTGGGAATGGCAGAACAATGGTGTGTCCAACTGCCAAACAGGAAAGAACAGACATTCCCACTGGAGTTGAGGGGTGGGGGAGGGGAGAGAGGACATGATGTCAGAGACTGTAACAAGTAAATTTAAAAGAAAGGGAAGAAATGGGAATGAGTTCACAATCTAAAGGTGTTGAATGCAATATTAAGTCCAGAAGGTTGTAAAGTGCTGAGTCTGAAGATGAGATGTTGTTCCTCCAGTTTGCACTGTGATTCACTGGAGTATTGCAGCATGCCAAGGACAGACATGCGGGCATGTGAACAGGACGCTGTGTTAAAATGGCCAACTACAGCAAGGTCAGGATCATGCTTCTGCACAGACCGAAGGTGTTCTGTGCCTGGTTTCTCCAATGTAGAGTAAATTCAGATTGTTCGTTAAATTACTTTCTCAAGTAAGCCATGTAAAATGAACATCATCCAAGCTATCTCATTGCATCCTCACTCTGCATTGAGTAATTATTCTTTGCAACCTGTCTGTTGTAGCTTTACTGGTTTACTGTGGAATTTGGACTGTGCAAGCAACATGGAGAAATTAAAGCATTTGGAGCTGGCCTGTTATCGTCCTATGGTGAGCTAATTGTAAGTGGTGCTGTATTCACTGGGTTTCAAACAAAATGACAATCAATTTTCTTGCAGTTTACTGTTTTTCTTCAAATTAGCAGCTTCAACTGGTTTTTAGGAGTAACATTGTTGTTTTCTTGTTCTCTCCCAATTTTTCACATGAGAAATTCCCATGACTTTGTGCTTGACCAATAGACATTCATGTCAAATTTTGTGTAATTTTGCAAGCCATTGCAGCATGGGGCAAATAGGATTTTGTTTCCTTGAAAAGGTTGAAGGGATTGACCAGACAGCACCTTCCCCTTCAAGATGGATGATAACTACTGAAAGCTAGGTCATTAGAGTGCAGATTGTTTTTATGTTTTCTCTTGACAATATAGCCGGTTATGATCTCCTGACCTCTCCAGAGTCCAGTGATTGTTTCAGAATGATTGTTGATACATTACCATTGGCCAGGCTTTCTTCAGCACTGTGGGCAATACATTGTAGGTTCTTGGGGTGGATGAGAGCAAAGTCATTGTTTATCTCTTTAGGAGAGATCATGGTGTTCATCTCATCCCTTGTAAATATCTGTTTACTATTCTATGTTGATCCTCCATTTCAAACCCATGTTTAAATTTTAATACTGTCACCTCATCTCTGATTGCCATCTTACTGAGATAGTCTTCCTTCCTGGTTTTGCCTCATTGTATTTAGATCCTTGTGCATCAGGTAAAGACAGTTTTGGTCTTTGTTCCAATGTCCCATTATTGAAATATTCTGCCATTATGGGCTCACGTGAAGATACTGTTTGCACTCATGGATCTGTAACCCACCAAGATTGACTTGATGTAAAAGAATGTTTTAGAATGTACACATTTTGGGTGATTCAGTGAGGAGGAATAAGGTCTTGCTTCTTTTATATCACAAATTATATTTTCTGTGGCTTTGAAAATACTTTTAAAATCTGCGGGTTCCTTTATATATAAACCTGCACCACCACTTTGAAAGTTTGGTTTGATTGATTTTTAACCTGAAATTGAATCTGAATATTGTGTACACAGCACGCCCTGTCTGATGAACCTGAGTTACGGGAATTTGACTCCGAGGCTGCTGCTCTGCAGCCCTATCAGGATCAAACATACCAACCAGTGTATTTTGTATCAGAAAGTTTCAGTGATGCTAAAGACAAACTGAGGTAAGTGGCTTTGTCAAAATGTAACAGTTCATTGTTTGTACACTTAGCTAAAGACACAACATTTGCATTGATCACCCAGTGAATTTACTAAAGAAATCTGTTCTAATCACAACCATCTCATTTTTGGATCAAATTTTTGACTGGATTAGTAATCTAGAAATCTGGATTAATGATAGATCAGATTTTGATCATTTAAAAATTATCTGGAAGTGAAAAAGAATGCTTCGGATTAAAATGGTCAGCAAAATTGTGAAATTGGGTTAAAAAACCAATGGGTTTGCTGAAGCACTTTGAAGAGGAAAATCTACCATCTTTACCTGATCTGATCTCAGTGTTAAGCCTTTCCCACACCAAGGTGTCTGAGTCATAGCTGCAGCCCTAACAGCACTATAATGCAAGGACTGCAGCAGTTCAAAAAGTGGCTTACCAACACCTCTCAAGGGCAATTAGAGATGTAGAATAAAAACTAGCTTAGCCAGCGATGCCTACATTTTATGAATGAATTTATAAAGGTACTCTCAAAGTATAATCCCTTTGGTAAAGTAGTCTTGAAGAATGTAATAATATTCTATAATGGGGAGAAGACTAAACTAACTGACTATAACTCAATAGAGGACAAGCTCTTATGTTTCATAAAGGTGCTAAATTAGTAGCGATTTTGGAGAAGCACATTCAATCCTCATACAGATTTGTTAAAGCCAGGTCATGAATGACAAATTTGATGATGCAGAGGTGCCGGTGTTGGACTGTCGTGGACAAGGTCAGAAGTCACATGACACCAGGTTATAGTCCAACATGTTTATTTGAAATCACAAGCTTTCAGAGCGCTGCTCCTTCTTCAGGTGAAGTCACTTCACTTGATGAAGGGACAATGCTCCAAAAGCTTGCGATTTCAAATAAGCCTGTTGGCCTGGTATCGTGTGACTTCTGACCTTGACAAATTTAATGTGATTCTTTTGACAAGATATGTCTTGATATATTCATATGTATGGCATTTTAAAAGATTCGGTAAGGTATCTGGCTGGAAGCTTGTTTTATAAATTCAAGTATATTTTATTCGAGAAAATATAACAATATAGTTTGACACTGGTTCGCCAGCAGAATATTGAGGGTTAAGGCAAATAGTTATTGCCCAATTGGAAAGGGTTGAAGGGGCCATTTCTCGCTCTGAATACATGGGGAAAGCTGCACTTTCTTTTAAACTCAATTGGTCACTTCCTCAATAACCTGAAATTTGTCAAACACAACTTGGTCCTTAACTTTTTCTTAAACTTTTTCTGGTTCAAGCTTTGTGGATATTATGCTTACTGAGGTTAACCATTCTGAAAATTAAAAGTCTGTGGTATAAAAGTTGATACACTGAAACCAACATATAATAATCTGAATCAAGCAGTTGTTTGCACTGAACATTATTTCTGACTGAAGTTTGACTTTTGCACTTATAGGAAGTATGCAGCCAACATCAAGCGGCCGTTTTCAGTGAAATACAATCCATTTTCCAAGACCATGGAAGTATTGGACAATCCTCAGAAAATCAAGACATTTTTGGACAATCTGAAGGATGACTTGCAGTTGCTGACTGATGCACTGGATGTTTTATCCTAACCTCTGGCTCTGCATGCAATCATAGAATGCAGATGTACTTCAACTCTATTACTGTTGCATTGCTAGCTTCATCATTTGTAAGTCGGATGTTTTAGCTTTCATTCTGATGTAGCAATGTGTGTGAACAGGCATGAACAGAAAGTTCTAGAAAATGGACAGTTTGCTTCACTGCCTCTGCTAGGTGGTTTTCATTTCTTTTGCCTCCTGACGTGTGGAACGTTAGAGGAGGTGCAGGCAGGTAAAATTGATCGTTACTGCTGTAGACAAAGGGCTCATGGTGAGTGGGCAGCTTGCTTAACATGAGCAAAGAAAATGATAAGCATTGTTGAGTTGGTTATTGCAACACACCCAACTTGGATACAAATCATGCAAGTGGATGTCTGTTTGAATGAATGGGGGTCTAACTTTTATATTGTGACTGCAATGTCCTTCCCTGATTGTGTTCTTAAGTGTTGAAAGGGCCAACCTGCTCTTGCATCCCCTCTCAAAATTGCCTCTCTGTATATTTTCTGCTAAAGTGAATAACTTCGTAACTAACACGTTAAAATTGCATCTGCAATGTGCCTGCCTGATTCTATCCACATCCTCCTGAAATTTACTGCTGTTCTACTCAGTAGTTTCCAAGTTGCCAAGCTTCTATCATCCACAATATTGAAAATTGTACTCCCTTTATTGAAGTTCATGTCATTTATATATGTAACAAGAAAAACAGTGGGTCCTAATTCTCATCCCTGGGGAGCACCAGTGCACACTTATCTGCAGTCTGAAAAACATCCTGCCACCATTACCCTCTTTGTCTTATCCCATAAGTTATTTTGCACTCATTGTCTCTGTCCATTTAGCACCACTATTTTCTGAATAAGTCTGTCATGTGGAATTCTAATCCACAACTTTTGTAAGCTCAAATACACAAGATCTACTGCAGTACCTTTATCAACTCTCTGCTCCTTCATCAAATAGTCAATCGAGTTACCTCAACATGAATTACCTTAAATAAATGTGCGTTGTTTGTCCCTTATTAATATTTAAGACTTAATCTTGCCCTGTAAAATAGCTTGGTGCCTTTGTTAATAATGTCACAAGGTTCTGCTTTAAATGCTGTTAGTATTGAGCTTTGGGAAGTTGACCTGTTTGTACCAGCCCAGGCCAATGGTCAACCCTCGTTCAGAGTGTGCATTCTCACTGACAATCCTGTTGCTGTCATGTTGACTTATGCTGTTCTCCTCCATGTATTGTGTGGCAGTGGTCAAGTCTAATGTCTCTCACAGGAATCTTCAATATTTAAGGTAGAATATTGGCTCTGCTCTGTCAATGTAATAAATGTTGTCTTGGTTGGAAAGAAACATGCAATCTGTGATTTTGTATTGAATTACCTCTCCAAAGACTTGTTGCAGTGTATCATATGAGGAACCATGTACATGCCGAAGTCCAAGGCACAGACAACCACATGACTTGCAATAAAAATAAACACAAACTGATTGAAATGCTAAACAAGCAAGTTAGAATCCGAAAGAGAAACAAAAAACACAAACACTTCCTTCATCACAACAGACAGTCAACATGGTGAAGCAAGAAGAAACAAGAAGCAGCAACAAGAAGAAGCAAGCAGTTATTAGCCTTCCTGAATTGGAGTCACCAAGAATTGAAAGCTAGTCTCCCAAAGGTTTCTGTGAGCAAATCAGGAGAAACAAAGGATACACTGTTTACGTTTCAAGCAGTCATGTGTCATCTCTATGGTTCACACATGTGGACTTCTGACATGACCCAAGCTGTTCAACCTCACTTCATTAGATAAGTCCTTCATCCCAGACATGAATCAAATTCTGTTTCCCTGGTGATAACTCCTAACCACAGTTTTTCACAACTTCCAGGTGAGTTGGGAAACTTGGAAGATTTGATAACGGAACATGAGAGTGTCATGTCAGTAGTCCCTCATGTGTAAACCATAACAGGACTTATACACTTAATGGTAAGTTTCTGGGGAGTGTTGCTGAACAAGGAGACCTTGGAGTGCATGTTCATAGTTCCATGAAATTGGAGTCACAGGTAGATAGGATAGTGAAGAAGGCATTTGGTATGCTTGTCTTTATTGGTCAGTGCATTGAGTACAGGAGTTGTGAGGTCCTGTTGCGGCTGTATAAGACATTGGTTAGGCCAATGCCAATTTTGGAATGCTGCATTCAGTTCTGGCCTCCCAGCTATAGGAAGAATGGTATGGAACTTGAGAGGGTTCAGAAAAGATGGTTGCCAGGGATTGGAGAGTTTGAGCTATAGGGAGACGCTGAATAGACTGGGGTTATTTTCCCTGGAGTCTTGGAGCTGAGGGAGACCTTATAGAGGTTTATAAAATCATGAGCGGCATGGAAAGGGTGAATAGCTAAGGTCTTTTCCCCAGGGTAAGGGAGTGCAAGACTAGACAGCATAGGTTTAACGTGAGAAGGGGAAGATTTAAAAGGTACCTAAGGGGCAGCTTTTTCACACAGACATGGTACATGTATGGAATGAACTGCCAGAGGAAGTGGTGGAGGCTGGTACAATCACAACATTTAAAAGCTATCTGGATGGGTATATGCATAGGAAGAGTTTTGAGGAATATGGGCAAATGGGATTAGATTAATTTAGGACATTTGGTCGATATGGGTGAGTTGGACCAAAGGGTCTGTTTCCATGCTGTACATCTCTGACCCTATGACTCTAATTGAAATTGAAATTTCCTAACTTTTGTGGTGGGATCTGCACCTATGTCTCTTTAGCATTCATTGAGTAACATAACTAATGTGCATTAAAAAAATCCCAAAAACTGCAGATGCAGGAAATCAGAAACAAAATCAGAAATTGCTGGAAAAGCTCAGCAGGTCAGGCAGCATCTGTGGCGAGAAAGCAGAGTCAATGTTTTGGGTCCAGTGACTCTTCTTTAGATGAAGGAGTTTCTGAAGAAGGGCCACTGGACCCAAAACATTAACTCTGCTTTCTCTCCACATACACTGCCTGACCTGCTGAGTTTTTGCCTGCAATTTCTGATTTTATAATCACTGTGCCAGGGTACTTGTACCTGAGTGTGGATGTCAAGTTTGAATCAGGTCGAAAAACTGGTTAAGAAGGAAATGGAGTCAAAAAAATTAAGCTAGAGATGAGGAACTAGTTTAGACAGACTCTAAAAGCTGAGATTAACTTTAAACGCGGAGCCGTTGTAGAAACAGAATTGACAGTGGTAACTTAATTTTGGTACAAGACAGGGACTGGAAATCTGAAATACAATGAGAAAATGCTGGAAATGCATTGCATACTTGGCAACATCTGCAAAGGCACGCATTGAAAAGCTGTGCTTCTGAAGGATGTCAAAAGATAACAATCCCGCTAGAGTGTGATGTAAATTTCAATGAGAGGACGGGATAGAGGACATCTTATAACACACCTTCATAGCAGGTGGAGATTGAACCCAGCACAAGGACCTGCTTTGCCTGAATTGACTATTCAATGAGTTCGTTGGTAATTCATTAACTGATCTCACAGGAGGCTTTTCGAATTTCAGAAACAAAGGATCGTTACAACGCAGAAGGAAGGCATTCAGCCCAGTGTGTTGGTGCTTGATGTCTGAAAGGCATTTAATGCCATTCTCTGAGTGATAGCAAGAACTGCCAATGCTGGAGTCTGAGATAACACAGTGTGGAGCTGGAGGAAACCCGAAAGGCCAGGGAGCATCAGCGGGGAAGGAAAGTTGATGTTGCGGGTCGGGACCCTTCTTCAGGAAAAGGGTTCATTTTTCTGAAGAAGGGTCCTGACCCGAAATGTCAACTTTCCTGCTCCTCTGATGCTGCCTGGCCTGATGTGTTCCTCCAGCTCCACGCTGTGTTATCTAATGCCATTCTCTTCCCCTATTCCTCATAATCCCACATATTCTTCATTTTGAGACAAAATACTGATTCCCTTTTGAAAGATTTGTTTGTAGCTACTTCCACCACACTGTCAGGCAGCCTAGTTGAGATTTTAACCACTCACTCTGTGGAGTTTTTCCTCATATTGCTTTTGCTTTCATTGCCAATTGTTTTAAATCTGTGCCTTACCATTCATGATCCTTTCACAAGTGCAAACAATTTCTTCCTATCAGGAAGCAAAAGATCAGAGAGTATCTGGGACTTGTCAGGTTGCAGATATCAGTGGGGAGCTGTGATCCCTAATTGGTGCACTGATCGCTGTATACAACAAGTTGGGGGGGAACATACAGTTGCTCAACCAAATGGCACAGAGTCACCATCACTTGCGTTTGTGAAAATTGAGACTGATGAGAAGCTGCTGATTCACATGGATAGCAGACATTGGTTGAAGAAGATCTTGTGACCAAATGACCGACCAATGAAGGAGTTGAAATGGGAGCAGGTTGACTTAGAATTGGATAGAGCTTAAGGAGGAGCTTCAGCAGAGGAATTCTGCTCAGACAACACTACAGGAGTACCACAACATTGAATTTTTAAGTTTCCACCAGAGATCAGCGGCAGACCTATTCATTTCTCACGATCGTTAGTTCATAACACAGCCACTATGGTCACAGTTGCAATATTCTATAGGGTTCGGGGGACTACATCCATTTGTGACATATGTACATTTATAGGCACAAAGGCCATTGGGATTTTACATCATCAATGGATATCCACCGACCCAGCTGATCATCTATTGCTCCCAAACAAGTATCAGAAAATCAGTCATCAAGATCCCTCAACAAAAAAGGTTTCCATTCACTGAATCTCGAGTTTGTCCGTGACCACACCAATTTTATCATGTGGGTCTGCTCGTGATTCAGTTCATGGGCAGCTGACATGATAATTTTATCCTTCACATTCCATACCTCTTCAGGCCAAAATCCAATCTCCATGGGAGATTGGTGGATAATATGGATTATTCCCTGAGGAGTTGACTTCTGATGTTCATATGGTACCAGAGGTATTACAACCAAAACCATCTACAAACACAAACTTGTATTGGACAGACCCTTTCTTTTATTCATTTACAGGATGTGGGCATTTCTGGCTAGGCCAGTGTTTATTGCACATCCCTAATTGCCCAGAGAACAGTTAAGAGTCAGCCACATTGCTCTGGGTCTGGAGTCACATGTATGTTGGTTAATGATGGCAGTCATCTTCCCTAAGGAGTATTAGTGAACAAAATGGGTCTTTCTTGACAATCTCCAATGTTTTCATGGTCACTATTAGACTCTTAACTCCAGATTTTCATTGAATTCAAATTTTACCATCTGTCATGGTGGAATTCAAGCCCGACGCTCCAAAACATTACCTGGATCTTTGGATAATAGCCTAATGATAATTTTACATCGCCCTTGCCTCCCCTCCTCCTATTCTGTTGGGTGGTGCCATCCACTATCAGCTATCAAAGGTTTATTGTTTCATGGTCATTTTGCTACATACAGTGACCAGTCAAAGAGGTCCAGGAATTCCACAGCATCTCAGGGCATGGCCTGTGGGCATAAGCTGCATGCCCCCATTGAAAAAGAACACAGAACACAGACTTGTGGAGTCTCTAATCTCTGATTGAACTGCAGGCTCAATTGAGGTGGGTGTATTTGAACTATTCTCCCCTTCCCATCACCTCGCCCCCTATCCCTCACCGCAACACTGAGGGGGGCAGCAACAAATGGGCTAGTAAACTCTGTGCCCCTCCAATGTCTGTTGTGAGCTCTCTATTCTTCAGAATGATGAGAGATTAATGGACTTGCAGCCTGGTCTCCCTCACTTCAGCATAGCATTGTCAGGATGCTCTTACCTCCTGACAGAATCCTAAGTAGTGACAGCTTGTTACTCTGTTCATAGAATCCCTACAGTCTGGGAGCAGGCCATTTGGCCCAAGAAATCCAAACCTACTGTCCAAAGAGCATCCCATCCAGACCCACCCCCTTACAATATCCCTATAACCCTGTATTTACCAATGGCCAATCCACCTAACCTGCACTGTGAAAGGAAACCACAGCACCCGGAGGAAACCCACACCGACATGGGAAGAATTTACAAACTCCATGCAGCCCTGGTTCACATGAGAGAGAATCGATATTAACTGCTACCCCATGTAAAAGGAGGATTTTGTGCCCTGGATGGACAGAAGGGTCTGTTTCCATGCTGCATGAATCTATGATCTCTTGGGCTGTACAGGAGGTATCCAATGCGGGAGAGGGGAACAAGGAGGGGAGGGGAAAATGAGCTCAGTAGTGAGCTGTTATTTTAGGCTGGGAGATATATTTTAGATATGGCACCACCTAACAGGGAGGTGATAGCCTAATGGTATTATCGCTCGACAGTTAATCCAGAGACCCCA